TGATAAAAGAAACAGCATTTTATTGGTATCATCTGATACTTTATACAGATTTGTATCATAAATATTTTTTTGTGTTTGGTTTGACTTCTAGGATTCAAACAAGGAATGTAGAATTGATGATTAAGTTTTCCAGGTCTCTCTTTTAGTTCTCTTCCCCCTTTTATGGCATTGACTTGGTTGGAGAAACTAGATAAGCTGTTCTGTAGAATGTCCCACATTACAAATTTTCTCAATTTGTTGTGTATTTTAACTTGTTCTTTATTCCTTGTATTTCTGAAAATGGAAGGTAGCTCTAGAGCCATGCCCTCAAATACTAGCTAGCTATGTTTGTAACCACGAGTGGCTATTTAAATTTAAAGTACTGGCTTTTAAAATTAAGAAGTTTAACCCCTCCATTGCATAAGTATCATTTCAAATCAGCAGCCACATAAAGAACATTTCTGTCATCACAGAAAATTATTTTGGGCACTACTGATTTAGAGGCTTAGTTAGATTCAGGTTTAATATTTTTGGTGAGAATATCTCATAGGTAGTGTTGTATTGCTTTGTATGGTGTCACATCAGAAAAGACATGTGCCTGGTTGTCTCACTTTTAATAATGCTAAGATTGAGAAGGTGGTGATCAGGCTGATGCCTTCATTGTAAATTCTAAACATGTGTTCTGTGAATAAAGACAGTTTTCCTTCTTTTGAAATCTTTTTTTTTTTTCTTGACTTACCGAGTTGGCTAAAACTTTCAATAAAATTGTTGAAATGTTGAGAGCTAATATTCTTGTTTTGTTCCTAGTCTTAGGGAGAAATATTTAGTCTTTCATCATTAAGTATGATATTGTATTTTTTTTAACAGTAGTTGTAGTTTAGTCACTAAGTCATGTCTGAGTCTTGCGACCCTATGGTCACATGGTCACATGTGGGGTTCTCCAGGCAAGAATACTGGAGTGGGTTGCCATTTCCTTCTCCAGGAGTTTTTTAATAGATGTTTTTTTATTGGATTAGAGAGTTCTGACAAAACATGGTCCACTGGAGAAGGAAATGGCAAACCACTTCAGTATTCTTGCCTTGAGACCCCCATGAACAGCATGAAAAGGCAAAAAGATAGGACGCTGAAAGATGAACTCCCCAGGTCAGTAGGTACCTAACATACTACTGGAGATCAATGGATAAATACCTCTAGAAAGAATGAAGAGACAGAGCCAAAGCAAAAACAACACCCAGTTGTGGATGTGACTGGTGATGGGAGTAAAGTCCGATGCTGTGAAGAGCAATATTGCATAGGAACCTGGAATGTCAGGTCCATGAATCAAGGCAAACTGGAAGTGGTCAAACAGGAGATGGTAAGAGTGAACGTCGACATTTTAGGAATCAGCGAACTAAAATGGGCTGGAATGGGTGAATTTAACTCAGATGACCATTATATCTACTACTGTGGGCAAGAATCCCTTAGAAGAAATGGAGTAGCCATCATAGTCAACAAGAGAGTCTGAAATGTAGTACTTGAATGCAATCTCAAAAACAATGGAATGATCTCTGTTTCCAAGGCAAACCATTCAATATCACAGTAATCCAAGTCTATGCCCCAACCAGTAACGCTGAAGAAGCTGAAGTTGAACAGTTCCATGAAGACCTATAAGATCTTCTAGAACTAACACCCAAAAAAGATGTCCTTTTCATTATAGGGGACTCTTAAGTTGAGAAACACCTGGAGTAACAGGCAAATTTGGCCTTGGAGTACAGAATGAAGCAGGGCAAAGGCTAGTAGAGTTTTTGCCAAGAGAATGCACTGGTCATAGGAAATACCCTCTTCCAACAACACAAGAGACGACTCTACAGATGGACATCACCATATGGTCAGTACCGAAATTAGATTGATTATGTTCTTTGCAGCCAATGATGGAGAAGCTCTATATGGTCGGCAAAAACAAGACCGGGAGCTGACTGTGGCTCAGATCATGATATCCTTATTGCCAAATTAGACTCAAAATGAAGAAATTAAGAGAAAACCACTAGACCATTCAGATATGACCTAAATCTCATCCCTTACGATTATACAGTGGAAGTGAGAAATAGATTCAAGGGATTAGCTCTGATAGAGTGCCTGAACTATGGACAGAGGTTTGTGACATTGTACAGGAGACAGGGATCAAGACCATCCCTAAGAAAAAGAAATACAAAAAGGCAAAATGGTTGTTTGAGGAGGACTTACAAATAGCTGTGAAAAGAAGAGAAGCTAAAGGCAAAGGAGAAAAGGAAAGATATACCCATTTGAATGCAGAGTTCCAAAGGATAGCAAGGAGAGATAAGAAAGCCTGCCTCAGTGATTAATGTCAAGAAATAGAGGAAAACAATAGAATGGGAAAGACTAGAGATCTCTTCAAATCAGAGATACCAAGGGAACATTTCATGCAAAAATGGGCACAATAAAGGACAGAAATGGTATGGACCTAACAGAAGCAGAAGATATTAAGAAGAGGTGGCAAGAATACACAGAAGAACTATACAAAAAAAGATCTTCATGACCCAGATAATCACGATAGTATGATCACTCACTTAGAGAGCCAGACATCTTGGAATGTGAAGAAAAGTGCACCTAGGAAGCATCACTATGAACAAAACTAGTGGAGGTGATGGAATTCCAGTTGAGCTATTTCAGATCCTAAAAGATGATGCTGTGCAAGTGTTGCATTCAATATGCCAGGAAATTTGGAAAACTCAGCAGTGGCCACAGGACTGGAAAAGGTCCGTTTTCATTCCAATCCCAAAGAAAGGCAATCCCAAAGAATGCTCAAACTCCACACAATTGCACTCATCTCACACGCTAGTAAAGTAATACTCAATATTCTCCAAGCCAGGCTTCAACAGTACATGAACCGTGAACTTCCACATGTTCAAGCTGGTTTTAGAAAAGGCAGAGGAACCAGAGATCAAATTGCCAACATCCATTGGATCATCAAAAAAGCAAGTGAATTCTTAAAAAACCTCTACTTCTGCTTTATTGACTATGCCAAAGCCTTTGACTGTGTGGATCACAACAAACTGAAAAATTCTTCAAGAGATGGGAATATCAGACCACCTGACCTGCCTCCTCAGAAATCTGTTTGCAGGTCAAGAAGCAACAGTTAGAACTGGACATGGAACAACAGACGTGTTCCAAATAGGGAAAGGAGTACATCAAGGCCGTATATTGTCACCCTGCTTATTTAACTTATATGCAGAGTACATCATGAGAAACGCTGGGCTGGAGGAAGCACAAGATGGAATGAAGATTGCTGGGAGAAATATCAATATCCTCAGATATGCAGATGACACCACCCTTATGGTAGAAAGTGAAGAAGAACTAAAGAGCCTCTTGATAAAAGTGTTAAGAGTGGAAAAAGTTGGCTTAAAGCTCAGCCTTCAGAAAGCTAATATGGCATCTGGTGCCATCACTTCATGCCAAATAGATGGGGAAACAGAGGAAATAGTGACAGACTTTATTTTGGGGGGCTCCAAGATCACTGCAGATGGTGACTGCAGCCATGAATTTAAAAGACGCTTGCTCCTTTGAAGAAAAGTTGTGACCAACCTAGACAGCATATTAAAAAGCAGAGACATTACTTGGCCAACAGAGGTCCGTCTAGTGAAAGCTATGGTTTTTCCATTGGTCATGTATGAATGTGAGAGCTGGACCATAAAGAAAGCTGAGCACCAAAGAATTGATTCTTTGAACTATGTTGTTGGAGAAGACTCTTGAGAGTCCCTTGGACAGCACGGAGATCCAACCAGTCCATCCTAAGGGAAATCAGAGTGTTCATTGGAAGGACTGATGCTGAAGCTGAAATTCCAGTACTTTGGCCACCTGATGTGAAGAACTGACTCATTGGAAAAGACCCTGATTCTGGGACAGATTGAAGGCGGGAGGAGAAGGGGACGACAGAGGATGAGATGGTTGGATGGCATCACTGACTCAGTGATTATTCCATTACTCAATGGACATGAGTTTGAGTAAACTCCGTAAGTTGGTGATTAACAGGGAGGCCTGGCGTGCTGCAGTCCATGGAGTCACAAAGTGTCGGACACAACTGAGTGACTGAACTGAACTTCATTGGATTAAGTCCTAGTACTTGCTAGTTGAATCTTTTTATATAAATAAGTATTGAATTTTGTCACATTTTTTCTATATTTATTGAGATAATCATATAGTTTTCTGTTTTATTTTGTTAATATGATGAACAGTACTTTTTTTTTCTTGTGAATGTTACACCTTACATTCATGGTGCAAATCCCATTTGATTATGATGTGTTCTTAATTTATGAATTTCTCAATTGCTTATCTTTTGTTACTGATTTACATCTGTGTTCTTGTTTTTGGTTTTTTTTACATTTTTAAAGTGAAGTTTATTGAGGTATAATTTTAATAGAGTAACACTCACCCTTCTCAGGTGGGCAGTTTTGAGTTCTGACAAATATATACAACCATGTGATCACCAAGTACATGTGTTTCCTTAAGGAATTTTGTTCTGTGATTTCCTTTTCGTACAGTGTCTTTGATTTTGGTGTCATGGTAACGATGGGTTTCTCTCGTGTCATTTCGGCATAACTGCACTTTTAACTTTTCATGCTTTTTTGCCCTCCTGTACACAGGTCCTAGACTGCACAGAAGTGTATCTCAGTATGTTCCCTCAGTGGAGAGGGTTAAATGGATACATTTGAGTCCATTTTATACCTTTTTATCTTAACTAGAATCTTATCTCTGTATTCAGATACTGAGATACTTAAATTATGTAAGGCAAATCATCTTTGCCTATCTGATCACATATTAAATGAGCATGAGAGAATTGACTTTTATGAAGCTTTCTGCATGGTCTTAGTTTTAGGCCACTAAACAGAATTTTCCTATGCAAACTTAAATGATTTTAGGATTATGTGTGAAAAAAAATGACATCTGAAATTTCTAATACTGTTAATTTATATACTTTGATACAATAATTATGCTATAAATACACCTTTCTTTTAACTTTCCAGGCACAAAAATCTCAAGCCTAGAAATCCTGGACAGCAAGGACAGGCGCCATCTCTGAGTCAGCAGCAGCAAGTCCTTCCGAAGCACAAGGCCAGTGAGAAGCAAGAGAAGAGTGAAAAGCCACAGAAACGCCCCTTGACTCCTTTTCACCATCGTGTGTCTGTTAGCGATGACATTGGCATGGACACAGATTCAGCCAGCCAAAGACTTGTGATATCTGCTCCAGATAGTCAAGTGAGATTTTCAAATATCCGAACTAATGATGTAGCAAAGACTCCTCAAATGCATGGCACTGAAATGGCAAATTCACCTCAACCACCCCCACTTAGTCCTCACCCCTGTGATGTGGTTGATGAAGGAGTGACTAAAACACCCTCAACTCCGCAAAGTCAACATTTTTATCAAATGCCAACACCGGATCCCTTGATTCCTTCTAAACCAGTGGAAGATGGGATAGACAGTTTATCCCAGTCTTTCCCAGCTCAATTCCAGGAAGCTGTAGAACCTACAATATATGTTGGTACAGCAGTAAACTTGGAAGAAGATGAAGCTACTATAGCCTGGAAGTATTACAAGGTCCCAAAGAAAAAAGATTTAGAGTTTTTCCCACCTCAACTTCCAAGTGATAAATTCAAGGATGATCCAGTTGGACCTTTTGGACAGGAAAGTGTAACATCAGTTACAGAGTATGTATTTTTTTTAATAGTCAATTAAAATTTAAGGGTGGAAATGATGTAAGTTCTTTATAGGCAACAGAATGGTTTCAGGGTTGGATTTACAATAATAAATCCTTTCAGTAGTTGAGTATTAATTTTGGATAATTTCTTTACTGTACTTTTTCCTCAGGGGACCTCTTTATTATGAAATATTTTAGTCACATAAAAGCGGAGAAAATAATAACATTTATCCATCAACTAAGTTGGTCCATCAGCCAACTTATGGATTTTACATACAATTGGCTCTACTCTATACTATTATTTTTCCTCTATTCTTCCTTCCACTGTCCTGAATTTGGTATTTATCACTTCTATACATGTTTTTATACATGTGGCTCTAGTTAATTAATTTCACTTGCTTTCTGGTATTTCTTTGTTATGAATATATTAGCCAAAATTTACACAGTTATCTACTTTCTTGAGATGGCATGTTGATTATTTTCAGTTTTTCACAAAAGATGTAGCAGTGAATTTTTTTGTACACATTTTCTTTTACACTTGTAAGAATTCCTCTAGGGAATATAGCAAAAAGTGGAATTGCTGTGCCATGGGGTATATTGATATTTAGCATTAAAGGTTGTTGCCAAATTACTTTATAAACTATACTAGTTTATACTAGTGTATACTAGTTTATACCCTCATCAAACAGCAGAGTATGAGAATAGCTATTCTACATTTTCCTCAGTACTTGGTATTAAGAGACTTTTAATTTTCTAGTCTGCTGCATGCAGAATGGCATATTATTGTCTTACTATATGTTTTACAGTTTCCTAGTAATGTTAAGCAGCACTTAAAGTGTTTATGGGCCTATACTATATATCATATTTTAGTCTATTTTCTTTTTCCCCCCTGATTTATTCCTTTCATATTCTGGTTATTAATCTCATATTAGTTATTATGCTTTGGATATAATGTTTAGTCCATTTTTAGTCTTTCACCTCCCCCCCACTCCAATTTATTCTTTGTATCTTCTGGCTATTAATCTTGTGTTAGTTTAGATGTACTACAGATATCTGCCTCTGTTCTGTGGTCTGCCTTCTTTGTCCACAAAGTATGTCATACGTATACATTATGTATGATGTACTTTGGGGCAAAAATAGGCTTACTTTCAGGTTGCCCTTTACTTTTTCTGTTGTTCTGATTATCATCTGTCCCAAAGTTTTTGCATTTTTATCCATAGTGGGATTTTTCCCTAGTGTCTGATTGGAGCGTGGTCTATTACAGTGTCGTGTTAGTTTCAGGTGTGCAGCAAAGTGAATCAGTTAGTGGGTTTTTTTAAAAGTGAAAACCAATCATTATATTCATTTTACTATTATAGTCATTAAAACTATCTACCTATTTATCAATACAAGGCCAAGTAGTGTGCAGAGATTGCCCTTCCTTCTCTGTCTGTTAGTGAAAATTTTTAGGGTCTTTTGCTTAGAATGTTAAAATTTCACAAGAATGTGTGTGTGTATGTGTATATATACACATACGCACACACACGTATATATGTAGTGATTTTTTATTCATTCCTTGTACTGAACTTTTGAGGAGAGCTGGTTAAGTTTGAAGTCTTTTTTTTTTTTTTTTTTTGTCCCATCACTGGAACTTACTTTTTTCTTGGATAATGTCTCTATTTTTCCCTCCATTCTCTGTGGAATTTCTAGAATTCAGATATTGAACTTTTATATTTTCTCTCATTTTGTTTTTCTGAGGGGATTCCTCCCTCAACTTCTAGCTCTTTTCTTAAGAGTTTTAATATTTATTATTCATGTGTTTTTAATTTCTAAATTAAAAAAAAATAGCACCCCGTTGTTAAATGTCCTGTTAACTTTTTTTTTTCCTTTAGAAGTACTGTGTTTTGGTCTTTTTCTTTACTATACCGATTCTCATCATATTATTGTTTCATCTTACACATGTCATTATTTATTTGTTTTGGCTCTGCAGCATATGGGATCCTAGTTCCCTGATCAGGGATCAAACCCATGCCCCCTGCATTGGAGGTGCAGAGTCTTAGCCTCTGGATTACCAGGGAAGCTCCTCATCTTACACATTTTAGAATGAGGGAATAGAGGAGCTGAGTAGAAATTTGTGTGTAAAGAGAGAGCCTTGTCAGTTGGCAGGACTTCCTCATTCAGTAAATATTTCAGTATCAGTTGTGTTTCAGTTCCAGACACTTTGCTTTATGGTAATGGGGTAGGGGATGTTTTGGCGGGGAGGCCTTATACCTAAACTTTCAGGATAAAAAGAATGACAGATCTTGTGCCTTTAGCAGGTTATCTATTCATTTTTCTTAGAAAAGGAACTTTTTCAGCACTGGGGCGGGTGTAGAGGAGGGGGATAAACTAGGAGTTTGAAATTAACATATCCATACTAGTATATATAAAATAAACAACAGAGACCTGCAGTACAGCACAGAGAACTATCTTACAGTACCTTGTAATAACCTGTGATAGAAAAGAATCTGAGAAAGAATGTATACACACACACATGCACAAAGCAGAATCCCTGTACACCTGAAAGTCATGGAGCATTGTGAATTCACTGTGCTTCAGTTAAAAAATGGGTATTTTTAAAAAGGAAGACTGCTGCTCCATTTTCAGCTTTTTCATTTCTTTCCAGAGATAAAAGGCGTTTTCTTTGGTTTTTAGGCAGTTTGGCTCTCCTATTGTTTATGTAGTTTGCCTTTAGCCCCCTCTTGCATATTCTAAGCTATGAACTTTCTCTACAGTGTTTCGTTGGTTTTGTTTTTCTTTTTTTTTTTTTTTTCATTTTGCTTGTGTTTCATTGATTTTCGAGCTTCCCTGAGATAAAGTAAAATGCCTGATCCATTTATAGCCTCTCATTTTCCCTACAGAGATGTATTTTCTTTTAAAGTTCCTTGATTATTATTTTAATAGATGTATCTGTGTGCTTTGTCTAGCAGTTTGAATTGTAAAAGCATTCTAGTATGACTTTTTAAAAAATTAAAATTAATTTGAAATTGAGGGACTTTAGAATATTCTTATGATCATAGAAGACGACTAACTTAGTTACTAAATTAGTCAGCAGATCTCTTGGAAACAAGTAGTTCCCCTTTACATGAGAATAAAATCCATACTCTTTTCCTCATCTGTAAGGTTTCTACACAGTCTCCTGCATACCTGGTTCTTCACTTTTATTTACCACTCTCCTGTTTGCTTCCTGACTTACCACATCAGCTTTCTTGCTGTTCTGTCAGAAAGTTAAGGTCATTCCTCAAGGCCTTTCAGTTCAGTTTGGTTCAGTCGCTCAGTCATGTCCGACTCTTTGCGACCCCATGAATCGCAGCATGCCAGGCCTCCCTGTCCATCACCAACTCTCGGAGTCTACCCAAACCCATGCCCATCAAGTCAGTGGTGCCATCCAGCCATCTCATCCTCTGTCGTCCCCTTCTCCTCCTGCCCCCAATCCCTCCCAGCATCAGGGTCTTTGAAACTGCAGTATGGGGCTGCGGGGGAGGGGGGACAGCTCACTCCTTTTTGTTCCATTGAACTCGAAATTTACCTTCTCAGGAAGTATTTCCTTGATCATCGTAACTAAACTGTGGCTTCTCTTTAATCCCCAAGTGACTGCCTATCCTGTGAACTGTTTTCCATATACATATATATATATATAATTATCTGAAATTGCATATCTGTTAATGGTCTCTTCCCCCATTAGAATGTAAACTCTATGAGGGTAGAATTTTGTCTTGTGTACTACTGTGTTCTTCCAGCATAAACACATACACAGGCCTGTGTGCACACCGGTGCACACACCCACACCCCTAGAATAATCTTAGGCATTTAGTAGACCCCAGCAAATGTTGGATGAATGAAATGACGGTCTGGCCCTAAATTACTTCGTGATTTTAAAACTTATTTCTTTCTAGATGTCATATTTTCTTATTTAATAAATGTATGTTAAAAAAATAGTGATGTAAATATTTTCAGTTTTGAGAATGTTAAATGAGTTTTTATGGATATAGTCATTAGATCTAAGAATTCTAGCTGTAACTTTTAAGTGTATTGGCTGCTTGTGTGCATGAGTTATCTGTAAGTGAAATGAAGGTCTCTTAAAAATTAATACAGCTTAACCTTAAGAGTCTGTTCTCAAATTACTTTGACGTTTTTCTCATTGAATAAGAATGATAAGCATAGTGTAGAAAGGTAGCATGCAGAGTAGAATGGTTCTGGATCATGTTTATGTAAATGAAGGAAATAACATGCCTCTCTCTGTTACTGGTCACCATTTTTTCTACCTCATAAAAAGCAATCAGCACAAAGAATAGAGGTTTTTAAAAAATGTCTCCTGAATGCTGTTTGGTTATGCTAGTAACTAAAATGTGTGTTGTATCATGAATTACTTGTAGATAGAATCCTTGTTTTTGTAATACTAGATTAAGAATAGGGTAGGTACCACAGAAAGTCAGCCTTTAGAGGCTTCGCTACTGTATGAACTATGAAACATTTCTGGAGTATAACTTTTATACTTGGTAGGTTAGAAGTTTTGGTCTTTTATGTTTTAATCATCTGGGTGATTTTTTTTTCCCCTGGAGTTACTGCTCTATGGCAGTAGTTCTTAATTGGAACAGTTTCTGGCCGCCTTTCACACACACACCCCCTTCCCAGGTGACATTTGGCAGTGTCTAGAGATCCATTGTTTGTCACGACCAGAAGTGTCCTGCTGACATCTTGTAGCGTGCTGCTGACATCTGATACACACACACGCACGCACGCACGCACGCATGCACACCCCTTCCAGGTGACATTTGGCAATGTCTAGGGATCCATTGTTTGTCACGACCAGAAGTGTCCTGCTGACATCTTGTAGCGTGCTGCTGACATCTGATACACACACACACACGCACGCACGCATGCACACGCCTTCCAGGTGACATTTGGCAATGTCTAGGGATCCATTGTTTGTCACGACCAGAAGTGTCCTGCTGACATCTGAGAGGTAGAGGCCAGGAATGCTGCTAAATA